GGGACATTGTACTACATTTTTAAATCCACCTATCAAATGTTGCTTGTGACGAGTTATCCCACCGTTATATGTTTTTTCCCAAAATACACATTTAATTGCGGATCTTGATGAGCCTTGTATAGCATAATTCCAAGCTATATCATTTCGTTTATTACTATCGGATGAAGTCATTTCAACGCTGTTTTTTTGAAAAAAAAATTATCAAGTCAATATGCAATTAATTCTACTCTATAAGACTATAAGTCAATAATTGAAAAAAAAAAAAGCAAACAAAACGGGGCCTGAAAAAAACAGAGCGTTTGTTAAGAGAAGAAGCAACCTTTGTTATTTTGCAAAAACAGGGCTTCGAAACAACCTCTGTTATTTTGCCAAAACAGAACCAAAAAAAATAGAGCACAAAAATAGACCTCTGTTTCTGTTAAGAGAAGAAGAAACCTCTCTATTTTGCTCAAAAAATAGAGCAGAAAACAGACCTCTGTTTCTGTTCTTTTAGACAAAAAACAGAGGAAAAAAAATAGAAAGAAGAAAGAGAAGAAAAGGATAAAGAAGAAAGGAGAAAGAAGAAAGGAGAAAGGAGAAGAAGCATACATGGTCTTTCAATGGCTAGAACCTCAAGCTTCTGAAAGAAGAAGACGATGGCAGACGATGGCTCGCGAGTTCAGAACGTCAAAGAAGCTCTGTTGTTTTGTTCAAGTTGAAGAAGCTATGTTGTCAAGCCCTAATCGCGACCCTTTTTGTTGAGTCTTTGCTTTTCTTTCTTTTTTTTTAAAAAAAAAAAACAAAAGGCGACGCTATGGTCGCTTCTCGCGACACTGTCGCCTCTCGCCACACAGGGCAGAGGCGAGCGCTATTTTAAAACGTGTCGCAATAGAGGCTCTGTGGCGACACTGTCTTGCCTCGCCTCACGCTATTAGCGCTGAGGCGAGCGCTATTTATAACACTGAGAAGCACAATGCAACAAATAGCCTAATCTGTTATTCCTTCTGACAAGTACTTATAACCAATTCCACTCCTTCACACGCTGCTTCACTCACCCTTGCCCATCACGTTTGTTAGCGAGGCCCACAATGAAATCAGCCAACCTTTTAGAGGGGAATTTCACACGATTGCTCTTTCTCAATTGAGTATTATTGATATCCCCGGTGTCAGCCCTGCTGTCCTCCACGTCACCGCCTGGGTTCATAACATGCAACAATTAGAATCTTAGTTACATCAGATTGCAACTGTAACAAACATTGGAAAGCTTAGACGTCTATGCAATGACTATTTTCTCGTCCCTTCTCGTGATCATCCTTGAACCTATTATCCTATTCCGAAAGGTTTTAATGTAGTTTTCTGTTGATTATGCTGTTAGCAATAACTTCAGAACGGGATAGTTAAAATGGATGTCATTTCATAGAGGGAACACTGAATTAGTCTGTTTTTACAACTTGATTAAATGAAAAAGGACATAGAGGGAACTCTGTACTCTTTCCTGAACAAGTCATACAGCCTCATCCTGGCACATGGAGTTGATTCATTAATTTTGTCTCTGACATTTCCATTCTTTTGTTGGTATTTAGACGATGAGTGATGTATCCACAAGGGGTGGTTTGTGCTAATAATAAAGAGTCGATGGTTGATGCCTGTAAAAGTTTTCCCAAGCTTTTCACTGTAGAGTTTCTAGATAGCTGGAAACTAGCTTTGTCGTCTTAATTCCACGAAATGTTGGATCATGGTGAATTGTCGTGGATGCAGTATTAATTTGTGATAGTCCAGTCGTGATTTGTTAGCCTTTGAGAAACAAGTGTAGTTTGTGGTTTTCTTGGTATGTCTGCATATTTTTTTGATGAAGTAATTGGTTTCATTGCTGGCATCAAGAAGATGCAGAAGTTACAAAAGAGTGTATCAATTGTTAGCTCCTTACAGATGTTTATACTAGTACTAGGGAGCTAACAAAATTTTAAAAACTATCAGGAGAGTCTATAGGGGATAGATAAGCCCAGCTGTACAGATACATGAGGCATCTAGCCTTTGAGTTTGTGGGGAGAAGTTGATACTCCATCAAAACACCTGTTGTTTCTCTCATTCCAAATGCTCCAAAAAATAGCTGCAGGTGTCATCTTCCATACTTTCCTGATGGTGCTACCAACTTTCCAGTAACTCCAAGACTCAAAAGCATCCCTGATATTATGTGGCATGACCCATCTAAGTCCAAAGAGTGATATAAACATATTCCATAGATCTGCTGCAACAGGGCATTGAAGAAAAAGATGGTTGTGAGTTGTGTGCATATAGAGTGTGCTAAGATTTAGTTCACAGGTTAAGAGGAATCAAATGTTTAGAAAACTTTTCTGATGGTTTGCTCTGTGCCACTTTGGGGCGAATAAACTCCTTGCAATGATTAAACATTCTTGGAGAAACATTATCTGGAATGCAAACTGATGCAGGATTTCATTCCCGATTTTGCTCATGTGAGGCTCACATATTCATATCAATCAGGACTGGGAAAAGTTATTGAAGTTCCTAACTCTTGCCAACAATTTCCTGCATATTGGCGATTGTTGATAAACCTAGTTACGGATTTTCAAATGATTGCATTTGGTTGAGTTTTGGGAAACACTAAATTGCCCTTTGGTGATATAGATTTGACTTCTAATATATATCTTTGTAGATGTATAGTTATTTGTTAAAACAGAGACTCAAACTGCATATATGAACTTTTGGTGCATTTGAGAATCCTATTAGCATCAATAACTTGCTATTTGTAGAGAAGTATACTATTCTGTAAGTTGTCTACTTTTGGATCTGACTTGTATACTGGGAATTTCCACCCCATTAATACAAATATTACCTTTTTGTAAAGAAAACTGCAAATATAGAATTTTTTTTATGTTATTGTTGATTGCCTTTCGCTAAGTTTTAGGCCTAGCTATGGGAGAATCTAGAGTGGACAAACCATTCGCAGTTGCATTTCTTCGTACTGAAAGTAATTATTGAGCAGAAAATTGTTCAGCTTCTTGTTAGTGTTCCTTTTTTAAAATTGATTTAACCTCTAGTATGTATATTCAAAGATTTATGTAATCTACGAAAATAGAGCACTGAACCTGCAAATAAAAAACTTACGATGTTAGTGCTGATGGCCTTTAGCGAAGTTCTAGCCTTAATCATGGCCAAAGAAGACGGAAATTAGAGTTAACAGTTTCTGCTACTTATTTCCTGTCACTGATAATCTGCAGTATGATATGCATGTGTATGATAATCCAATGTAGCTAATAGTATACAGTGAGGAGTTTGTTTAATTATCAATTAATTGCAGTCCTTATATTACTGATTAATTTTTGCGCTCAGTTTTCTTTCTTCCATTATGATCTCTTTTATTAAGTTGGTCAAGTGCTTTTAGAAACCTTTTGGTAGTTGGTGAATCTGCTGATATACAAATCATGCCTTTACCTCATTAACTTCATACTCATAGGCTAGCCAAACAAAGCTTTACATTCAATGCTTGCTTAATCTCTTTTACCAAGTTGATTTAGTGTTTTTAGAACCTCTCCATATTCATAACTGGCCAACCAACATTTGCTCTATTTGACCCATTACTTGCAATTGTAGAGTCTATAAGCATGTTTTTGGGGTGACATGTCTTAAGACTTGATTATAGCATTTCTCTGGATAAGTTGAACAATCTTGTGTCACCCTTCATTCTTTTGCAAAATTACTTGTCTCAAGTCTTTTTGAAGTTTTCCAAGGCCATCAATGTAAATCTTAAGTTTATGGTAATCCTCCTTTATATGATATGCGTCTCTTATTAGTTAATAGATGTGCTCTCTGTGCTATCACCATTCCTTTTACTTTTCCATGTTCTTTGTGCTTTAAATGAATGGTGCATACAAAATCAATTTCTCTTAAAGAATAATCATTGTTTTCTTTGTTGCAGGCGCAATATGCTTGAAAAAAAATTAGCTGATGCTGAGGTTTCTGAGGAAGAGCAGAACAATTTACTGAAGTACCTTGAGAAAAAGGAGACAGAATTTATGCGCCGTCAAAGGCATAAAATGGGTGCTGACGATTTTGAGCCTTTAACAATGATAGGAAAGGGTGCATTTGGCGAGGTCTCTTTCTTTATCCCTTACCGCATACATACATCCTTTCTCCTATTTTATATCTCCGACCAGCATAACAGGCAAAGAGAACTATGACTGGAAATCTTTTAAAATTCTGTCTTATTTCTTTTTAATTCTACTTATCAAGCTTGTATCTTTTACCCTGGGGGTTCAAGCATCCTTTGGGAGAAATAAAACTAATAAAAATAGAGGTATGGTAGAAAAAGGGGGCATTATGTCCTTGGGCTGAAACATTTTCATGGTTGTTTTCTACATCATACATTCTAACTCAGATAGTTGGAAATTGGATCTTTTTTCCTAGTGAACTGTTATGGGTTCTTTTACTCTTGGTGGGGTCCACTTTTCTTCATGGTGGAAAGCTTTTGAGCTTTAATTGAGAAACGATATAATCAGTAAATATTCACTCATAGACCGCCTCCTCTCTCTATCTCTCTCTCTCTCTCTCTCTCTCTCTCTCTCTCTCTCTCTCTCTCTCACACACACACACACACACCTGAATCGGAAATAGGAATAACATTTGAGATTATATTCCTTTTGACCTTGTAAATGCAGAAATGCAGCCTCTTGCAGAAATGCAGGGTAAGGATGCGTACAATAGACCCTTGTGGTCCGTCCCTTCCCCGAACCCCGCGCATAGCGGGAGCTTAGTGCACCGGGCTGCCCTTTATTCCTTTTGACCTTGTAACTTATTTTGTCTTGCTTCAGGTTAGAATATGTAAGGAGAAGGCAACTGGTCATGTCTACGCCATGAAAAAGCTTAAGAAATCAGAAATGCTTCGTAGAGGCCAGGTAAAGAACACATAAAACTTTCTCCATAGTTACCTGGTGATTGTTTGTGTTGCACTTGCATGCTAATTTCTGCTTATCAACTATTTTTTGTTAGGTTGAACATGTTAAAGCAGAAAGGAATCTGCTTGCTGAAGTTGACAGCAATTGCATTGTTAAGCTATATTGCTCTTTCCAAGATGAGGAGTATCTTTATCTAATAATGGAATATCTTCCTGGTGGAGATATGATGACTTTGCTGATGCGCAAAGATACTTTAACAGAAGACGAGGCCAGGTTTTATGTAGGGGAGACGGTCCTTGCTATAGAATCTATCCATAAACACAATTATATCCACAGGTGGGTACAAAATTCTGTTTCTGTGTGATGTGATTGCCATGACATATCACAGTGTTCTTCTTTGCTTCTTTACTCCATTGTTCTCTAATCAGGAGGAATAACTCATCTATCCAAAATTTGCAGAGATATCAAGCCGGATAACTTACTACTAGATAGAAATGGGCACATGAAGTTATCAGATTTTGGATTATGTAAACCACTGGACTGCAGTAATCTTCAGGAAAAGGATTTCACAGCGGCAAGTAAGTTAAGTGGTGCTCTTCAAAGTGATGGACGCCCAGCCCCTCCAAGGCGCACTCAACAGGAGCAACTGTTGCATTGGCAGAAGAATAGGAGGATGCTTGTAAGTCCTTATTACAACCATGATTAATGAACCTTTTAACTTTTATTAAGCACAAGTTAGAGGAAAAGCTCCTTTCCTTAGATATCACATTTGGTGCAAAGGATGTCTTCGTGAGGGGCATCTGGAAAATATTTATGTACCCCTTGAGGTCCTGGAAACTTTACACGGTAAACTAATGCTTATTTGCCTCTTAAATTTGCTACGGAGGACTAAAAGTCTTTCAATAAAAGTGACCCAAATCCAATGTACTACACCAGCACTGTCATCCTCTCTTCTCCTTACCTCCTACCCCCTCTTCTGCTGGTATATATGCTACCCCTACTTTCAGTGCTGACTTCCTCTGATCTCTTTCTCTTTTGTCTTAAACCTCTATCATCACTTCTCTTGGTCAGAGCTCTTTGCCTATATTTCTGTCACTTCGGTTTAATGATGTGAGTACGGAAGTTTCCTTTTCTATACCATGTTTGATCATAAGAGTGAGATAAGCTCTATTTCTATCCATTATCTCTGCCCCTCCCAACCCCCACCAAAAGTCTGGAGCAAATAGCTAGAGTGTTCTTGGATACTGTAATGCCTATGCTTATCGAAGTCATTACAGTGACTGTAGCTATAATAATAACAATACTAAATTAGTAATAAAGCTTAAGGCTTTCAAGGCTTGATCATTCCTTGCCTTTCTTACGTTCCAATGCAAACATAGACTAGACTTCCTACTTCCTACGTTCTAAATTGGAGTCTACATCTTATGGATTGTAGTGCAACATTTTCTTAAACCCTGGATGAGTAATGAGTAATTTTACAAACTAACAAAGGTGAGAGTTCTTCCTTCACCCCTGCGTCTGACTAGGAAAGTATAGTGCCTAATTGTTATTTTTCTGAAACTCGTATTGATTACATGGAACCATTTAACACAGTGAAGTACTGCAGGCTTATTCCACCGTTGGGACACCTGACTACATTGCTCCAGAGGTTTTACTGAAGAAAGGATATGGATGTGAATGTGATTGGTCGGTATCTTTGTATTATATCTCTTTCAATTAAAAGCTTATCTATTTTCTTAAATTTCTGTGTGTTTCTCTCAGGTGGTCACTTGGTGCTATCATGTATGAAATGCTCGTGGGATATCCACCATTCTATTCCGATGAACCTATGTCCACCTGTAGGAAGGTAAGTATGGGAATCTGTTCCTTGGTTATGCATGGTGAAAAGTCTTTTAACGTGTGGATTCACTGGTTGTCAGCTTTGTCCATTTCATTCCTTTGGTCTAGTTATGCATGATCCTAGCTATTTTCATTTGACCTTAAATTTTGGGTTATGCTGGAGAGTCCAGGTTACTGGTGTTTCAGTCAGGTCGTTTTCTGGCTTGGGACACACAAACGTCTGGAACTGCTTCAAAATTATTAGAACTGAAGCGGCTATATTGCTAATGGAAATTCAATGCACCGCGAAAAAATTTAAACTGCTTCCCGGGACTGCTCTTTGGCCCCTATCTAAGTTGATTAGAGACCTGGGAATGTAATTGTTTGCTGAGCAAAGTGAGTCATTAAGAATATGAAGGCCAACACCTGTCGGCTATTTGCTTCGAATCATTATGATTCTTTCAGTGTCTGATTTCTAGGGAAAGGAAAAGGAAAAGGAGGAAGTAATACAGTTTAACATTTTTCATTATGTATATGAACACATGCCTCTCAAGTCTTATTGTGCAGAATCTTATGCTCTGCTGAGCTTATCCAGAGTGACTAGACATAATAGAATACTGTGGGGGCGCCAAAATATTCCGGGGCAGAAGCCTTTTTTGTTTCCACCATATTTAGATGGTCTATACATGCATCAAAGTATTTGCGGACTAAATATATCAGCATTTCTTCTTAGATTAACTTTGACTAAATGCATTCTTACGCCATCTTTCTAGGCACGTAATATCAGTATTTGATAAAACAAAATTTAAATGGATTTACTATATGACCAATTTTAAACTACAACGAGCAAGGCTTGATCATTATTCAGTGAGTGGAGCTTGATGCATGTATGTTCTTGTTTGACATGCACAGCCATTTCCTTGGGACATAGGCTGCATTGTATTGTGGGTTAGGTTAGAAAAAAATGGACATGTTCTCTACGCATGATTATTGCAATTAGCAACATGTGCCCAAGATGTCTTAGAAGTGGTTTCTATTTTCATCAATAATAGTATTGCATCAATTATAACATGTAACCTTTGGTGAAAGCTTGGAATGTTTGCATCAAACATTGTAGCTTCATGTTCCATTTTGATACTTTCTTGATGACAGTCCACTTTAATCTGTCTTGTTGCTACAGATAGTAAATTGGCGGACTCATCTTAAATTTCCCGAAGAGGCAAAACTATCTCCTGAAGCAAAAGATCTCATATGTAAACTCCTGTGTAATGTAGAACAGAGACTTGGGACCAGGGGTGCTGGTGAAATAAAGGTAGTTGGCGTATTCGCTGTAAATACTTAGAATGAGATTAGACTTGGTCAAGTTTAATCCGTTAACTGTTTTTCAGGCTCACCCATGGTTCAAAGGTGTTGAATGGGATAAACTTTACCAAATGAAAGCTGCATTTATTCCAGAAGTTAATGACGAGTTGGATACTCAGAATTTTGAGAAGTTTGAAGAGGTGTGCAAATTGCCCTTTTCAATCTTGGTTTCTCCATCAGTGCTACAGCAACCCTTTTGTGCAATCCTTATCTGCTTGTTTTTCATGTCTTCCTTTGCAATTCTGGTTTGCAGGGTGACAATCAAATTCCAACAGCAGCAAAATCAGGTCCTTGGAGGAAGGTTAGTACCGATAAACTGCTAGTGACTTCATAATTCGTAGGGGCTTTTTTTTATTGGTCATAATTCGTAGGGGCTTCTTTAAGTGATGTTAACTCTGTCATTTTGCATTTGAATAATCAGTCAATAGGGATGATTTATTGCTTACAAGTTTCATAATACATAGGGCTTGTTTCAATGATGTCATTCTGCATTTGAATACTCAGCTCATAGGAACGGTTTGTATGGTTTCCATTCTAACTTCGCTTCACATATGCAATGGAGAACCTGAATTTGGGAAACTAGTTCTCTGGAGTAGCCATTTCCTCGGAGTACTATCAATCCAAATGCAATTTCTAGCTGACAAATTAGAATTCCTATAAAAGTACCTATTTTTCCATGTGGCAATTTAACAGAATTGAAAGTAATAAAGAGCCAGATACATATATCTTTATTCAGTATTTAGTATGCTGGAAGAGGGGATGGGTTTTGGTAGATAAGTTCTCTTAGTTGAGCATAATTAAGTATAGGTATGTGTTTGCTGTTTCCAAATTGAAAAATCCATGTAATTACTACATTGTAAAGGATAAAGGGTAAGAGACAGTTGAAAGGGAGGATACTGCCGCCTTTATTGGAAACTAGTTTGGTAATTTGCTGATAGAAGTGTTTCAGTATTGAGTAAGAGGAAAATGTTTCATTTCGCTATATATCATCAGCTAATCTGGTTGGCGGTTATGGTCATAGACTCATAAGTGATTCATGTGGCTACATCGATGCATCAACTTCTATTGTCTTTTTCATCATGCACTAAAAAAAAGAAAAAAAAATCATGCACTCATAATATTCCTCTCATCGTTTAATCTGTTCTTGATCCTTTTTTTTTTGTCGCTACAGATGCTTTCCTCAAAGGATGTCAACTTTATGGGCTACACTTACAAAAACTTTGAGATTGTGAATGATAATGATGTTGCTGGAATGGGTATGAAGCTTTTCCTTGCATTAAGTTATAATTAATCCTTTTGATATCAATTTGAACTTATCTAACATAGGATAAGTATGATTTGATTTCTGCTGTTATCTGTGCTTTGTTTATCAATCTCTGCTCTTCGAGTATTAAATGGTTTATTTTGTTTCTTTTGTAATTTTCAGTTTGTGATTTGTCTTAAAATGCTCATATCTTTTTTCAGCTGAACTGAAGAAGAAGAGCAACAAAGCTAAGAGGCCAACTGTGAAGGCACTTTTCAGTAGGATTTCTGTCCCTCTTTTTATTCTGGTTGTCATAGTTATTACTGTAGACTGGATTATTACTTCTCCTGGCATTGCTCCAAGAAATAGAGAGGCAATACCCAAGGAATGGAAATAATAGTTGCACGTCTTCACTTGCTCTACTTGCAACTTATATTGGGATTGAGCGTCACCATCCTTTATATTGAGAAACATCCATAAAGTTTCTAAGAGTTGGAGGTAAATAGAGTTTTTCTGAATGTTTTCTAATGTGGTAAAAGGAAATAAAGGATATTATATTATATCAGCAAAAGAGGAAAAATGAATTGATGTCCACCACCAGGCCTTTGGTTCAACCATAAGGACATAGCTTGGAGTGTGGGTTAGGTGTACATCAGTGGTTTGAAATGCCGTGGACAAAAGTCCGGTATTTAAGTTAGGAGGAGGATAGGGGGAGGCCAATACTCTCCGAGGTTTCGAACCTGTTGATACCTCACAAAGTGGGGGCCAGAGGCGATTTCTCCGATATAAAAAAGACCATTAAGAAAAAGAATGGATCATTCATCGACTCTCCAGTCGTGGTTTTTCTTTTACGGCATTTTGTGTATCTGTTTCATGTGTTCATTCTTGTTATCCTTCTCTCGTGGATCATGAAGTTTCTAAGAGTTGGAGAGCTAACGACAAATCTATCTCTGAAGTTCTCCTTGTGGTGGTAATTTCTTCAAAAGAAATGGTGGATATTAGTGTTAGCTTACAAGAAATGAGTTGATTATTTGTTGACTTTCGGTTTGTATCCCTTTACAGCATCTTGTCCCTCTGTTTCATGTGTTCTTTCTTGTTATTTTTCTTTGTTTATTTTTCTCTCTTGGATCATGAGATGGTATAAACATGCTAAAGTATGGATGCTCATATGTTTGTAGGTGAGGATTCGGATGCATCTAACTCTCAACCTGCTCACGGGAGTTTCCTTAAACTGTTACCTCCACACTTGGAATCGTCAAAGCAGGCTGAACTATAGTGTCCAAACTAATCTGTTAATAACTTTATGACCATAGTCAACAAAGCAAACATGCAACATTCCCTCTGTTAAGTGAAGCTGTTGTGTTTTAACATAGGTGTATTTCAAGTGTAAAGTGTCCACGACCAAGGCAGTTTTGCAAATCTGTGACTGCCTTGGTTCATAGTTGCGCTTGTTTTTGTGTAAATTATTTCTTGGAAGTACATATCATTCTTTTTGTTGCTAGTTTGTAATTTCCCCCCCTCTAATCTGCAGAAACTTGCTCCCTTGTTCTTGTAATCTCTTCCACTATGGGTTTATTTATTTCAATAGACTATCTCAAAAGATGGAAGTTTTATTTGAGTTCTTACTAGAAGTGTACGCTCCCCTTGTTTATGCTTTCTGGGTTTGATACCACCTTTTCGTTGCTGTTGCTGTGTTATTGTTAACTCGAAAAGAGGACGAAACGATGCTTTATTGTTCTATAGTTCGCATGAACTGAGTTGGTCATATGGATGTCCTTAACCCCCTTGGCTGTGTAAACTCGACGTTTTTTTCTCCCGGTTGAGTTGGTTTTCCATACTTGTAGTTGTTTCTTGTCAAAGGTGGCATGTTAATTTGCAGACCCTTTAGCAAATGGGTGAAGTACACAAATAGCCCTCAAAGTGAATGGTCTTGAATTTTTGTCTCCGCGGGAGTCAAATGTTAAAGACCACTCAAAAAAGTATCATATTTCTGCAATTTTTTGTTAACAAACTGACATGTGGGGTGCTTGTTCATCTATATCTTTGCTTCTTGTGCCCAAATCGCATTGTGATCTGCACATATATTCCCCCACCCCACCCCAGCCCATTTAATTGTTTTGATAATGGTGAGTCCTGGCAAATGACTTTGTTCGCCAAGGCTTTGGTCAAACAGAAAGAAATCACTTTGAACTTTGATATCCTTTATTTCATTCCCTAAGGATTGCTCTAATTAATTATTTTGACTACACTTCAATCTTAAAAGGAGTTGGGGTTGGTCATATGAGCTCTATACATCTAGCTTAGAAGATTTACTGATTCATAACACAATTTTAAAGGCAGAGGTGCATGATAGGATATTTTAGCTTACATGGGGTAAGATACTAGTCACAAGGCACATTCCACAAATTCAATTACTCCAAAATGTTGGAAAACTGATCCAACGATCTAAACTTTAAAAATAGACGTACATAATAATACTTAAAGTCAACAAGATTCTTCCAATATAATATAAAAGTTATAGTTAAATATTCAAAAGAAATTGTGAAATAATAATATTTCAGGCCGTGTAGATCAATAATATAATACTAAAGTGGCATTAGTTCTTGGGCGTATTGGACAAACTGCCTATGAAAAAGTGTGCGTGAGGTAGAGATACACTGCTTGAAGTATTCCTTAGGGGTCATTTGGTATGCGGGATAACGATAGTAATCCAGAGATTATTTTATCACGTGTTTGGTTGAAATTTATCGGGATTAGCGATTCCAGAATTAATTAATCTCATAATTGAGCATTATTCTATCCCAGATTGAGGGTGGGATAATAAGAGCGCATTTGGACATAAGAATTTTATTTATTTATTTTTAAAATAAAATTTGGTTATGAAATTTTTATAATTTTTCAAATCCAACTTGAAAATGCATTTTCGAATTTGAAAAACTGTTGGGAACCAGTTTTTTAATTGGAAATTTGAAAGTTGGTATTTTTAAGTTTTACAAATTTACCTTATATTTTTTAAATTTATAAAAGGACCCCAATCAGATTAAACCTAGGTAACGCCTACAACTACCCACCATCTGATTGAGTGGACTTGGAGTATGTTTTGACATCCACTATTGAGATCTATAATTTACACTTTTACCTGAAGGAACCACTACAACTTCTATTAGAGATTGTTCGTACAGTTAAACAATCAACATGTTTGACTGTTTATTTCAAGTAGGATAATCAAGTCGGGGTGGATTTGATATTTTTTTACAAATTGTGGGGTATAAATCATGTTTTAAGGTTTTGAAAATAATACATCCAAATATGTTGCAAAAATTATAACCAAACACAACTTCATCTTCAAATCAAATTTTAGTGAAATTCCAAATTTGAAAAAAAATCTTGGAATTTATGTCCAAACGCCTACTAAATAATCCTGGGATAAACACAAAAATGATAAAGATGCCCTTCTCCAAGGCTTTTTCCCAAAGTCTTTTTAACAATCCAAGGCTAAAACTGAAAATAAAAGTTTATCCCAACTTATCAAGTATACACCAAATACATATTTATATTATACCTCGTATATTCTATTTTTAGTCCAATGAACCAAACATCTTTCAATAAAAATATATTAATTAAATAATTCTGTCATTATTTAATCCTCATATTATAATCCCATTGTTATAATTCGGAATAACTTGTTCCTCCACCAAACGATCCCTTAAGTCTTTAGCTCTCATAGTAATTTGGGTTCAAATCTCGATAGAAACAAAACTACTTTTAAGTTACGAGATAGTATGTCTTCGTCGAAATAACTAGGGTGTGTGTATATTGAGTCCATAACTCAAATGAACACTTAACTATTCGAAATTACCTAGTAAAGTCATGTTCCTTTTGTTTGTAATAGAAAAGTCACTTAATTATTTCTATAGCACGCAGAAGGTTACTCAATTTAGATTTCTCAAATCTTCGGTAGTAAAATACTAATTTTACCCTCTAAATTATCAACATTTATTTTCTTTAATATCCATTTTATATTATAATTCTTTCGCTTTTTACTCTATATTATGGACTTACATATAAAATAAATTAATTTTATTTAAAAAGTAAAAATAAAAAATAGTTTTTTGGAATATATAATGTTGAAAGAAAATAATTGAACAAAATTTTCAAGCATATAAAAAATATAGTATAAGTATATCTCTATTTTAAATATTCTTTTTGTATTACATGCATGAAATATATCCTTTAAAAAAATTATTCTCTTTTATTTCAATTGTGTAAATAAATATTTAAGCTTTTGCTGCTATTATCAAAATAATTGATACGAACAAATTATTCTAATTAGAATTCTTACTGTGCTCACTTATTTTATTCATCAATTTCAGTTACTTAAGCTCTTAATATTTTATAACTCAAACATAATTTTTAATATAATATTTATATTTTTAAATAAAATTTCGGGAATAAGCTCAAGCGCAACACGCGCACTACACCCGATGCAGTAAACTCCCGCTATGTGTGGGGTTCGAGAAATGGTCGAACCATATGAGTCTATTTTACGCAGCCTTACTCCCGCTATGTGTGGGGTCCGGGAAATGATCGGACCATAAGAGTCTACTGTACGCAGCCTTACCCTGCATTTATGCAAGAGACTATTTTCACGGCTCAAAACCGTGACCTTCCAGTCATATGACATCACGGCTCGAACCCGTGACCTTCCAGTCATATGACATCAATTTTACCAGTTACGCCAAGTCTCCGCTTCTTGCAGTTTTAATGCATTTTTTTTTTCTTGGCGCAATTTAGAAACAAACCAAAAGAAAAAATATAACTGATCTTTGATCCAGCAGCTTACAGTCTCATTTTAAGGATTCATTTTCTGCCTTGGCTCTCCTTCTCCTTCTGTTTTTAATTTTTTGTTACATCACATTCTTGCATCCATCTTTCCTTTGGCCTTTTAACTAAGCAAAAACCAAAACTCCCCCTAATTTTTGACAATAGCACAATCACAAACCAATCTTCAACAAAATCCTAAGTTCTTCTAAACATGTCTTATTTACAATTTCCAACTTCACTAATGTGACCATTTAAAAAAACACTCAAGATTCATTCACCCAAAAAACCAGTGTACCAAAATGGATTCTTCCTATGAAAATGTAATCAAAACCCTTTTAAGAAACCCATCTTCCATAAAAACAAAGTCACAAGCTACGCAACTCCATGCCCAAATAGTGAAAACAAGAGGGTCGAGGTCTGTTTCACTTGCCACTATAATTCTTGGCATTTACTCTGACCTTAACCTTTTAAAAGAATCTTTACAAGTTTTTAACACCTTTTGTTATGTACCCACAAAAGCTTTTAAATCTGTTATTAAGTGTTACTCTTGTAATGGCTATTTTCTTGATTCTTTAGCTTGTTTTGTTGAAATGAGAGGTTTTGGAAAGTTACCTGGCCAAGATGTATTTCCTGCTGTAATAAGAGCTTGTACCCATTTGAAAGAATTGAAGGTTGGTGAATCTGTTCATGGTTGTGTTGTAAGGTCTGGTATGGAATCTGATCTTTATACTGGAAATGCACTCATGAATATGTATGCAAAATTGCAGGTTTCATCACCTGATTGCCATGTGTTTGATAAAATTCCCCAGACAAGTCGCTTTAGTAGTCGTAGAAGCAATTTAGTACCTGTTTTATATGAGGAAACAAGAAATGAGTTGATAAGAAGTGAAAAAAGCAATTTTGATTCTTTAAATGGGAGGAGAGTGGAAAGGGATAAAAGATTAGATAATGTGAGTAAGATTTTTCAAATGATGCCGAATAAAGATGTTGTTTCGTGGAATACTGTGATTGGTGGGAATGTACAAAGTGGGCTGTATGAGGAAGCTCTGGATATGTTAAGGGAGATGAGCAATGCCAATCTGAAGCCTGACTGTTTCACTCTGTCGAGCATCCTTCCTGTCTTTGCGAGGCACGTAGACGTTACAAAGGGAAAAGAGATTCACGGGTATGCGATTAGACATGGGTTTGACAAAGATGAGTTTATTGCCAGTAGTTTGATTGATATGTACGCGACTTGTACTAGGGTTGAGGATTCTTATAGGGTGTTCGATTTATTACCACAAAAGGATGATGTTTCATGGAACACAATAATAGCAGGATGTGTGCAGAATGGTACTTTCGACGAAGGGCTAAGATTGTTTAGGCAGATGTTAGCTGCTAATGTCAAGCCTGTGGAAGTTACTTTCTCAGCTATACTGCCGGCCTGTGCTCATTTGACCACACTACATCTCGGGAAACAGCTCCACGCATACATAACGAGAATGGGATTTGATCAAAACATGTATATAGCTAGCTCACTCGTGGACATGTATGCCAAATGCGGGAAGATAATGACTGCTAGATGGATTTTCGATAGGATGGAGGTACATGATTCAGTTTCATGGACAGTCATAACCATGGGCTATGCGTTGAATGGACATGCTCGCGAGGCCATTATTCTATTTGAAAATATGGAGCGTGAGAGGATAAAGCCCAATGCTGTGGCCTATCTAGCTATTTTAACAGCTTGCAGCCACGCCGGTTTGGTTGATGAAGGTTGGAATTATTTTACAAGTATGAGCAAATGTGGTGTTT